TGAGGAAGAAATTGTTCTTCTCCCTGTGGCAACTACTTTGCAAGTGAAGACACACCGATAAGACCTGACAGGCAAACGGAACGTCACCATCTGGCTGTATATCGATTGCCATTTATATTTGGCGTTTTATCGCCTTTTGGCAGTGTACAGTGTTTCAGCCAAAACAAGAGCATGAAACTCCCGGCTGAAAAGCACTTGCGGGAAAAGTTTTGTCTCGGTCAGTCGCTCAGTCCTTCAGGCAGCTAGCCAGTCAGTTTCGATCACCATTTTTTCAGGTCACGGAAGCATACACGTCAGACAGTGTTTCTCATTCTGTGCTAGCGTTTGAGCTTCGACAGAAGATAACCAAAATCTGGAGCAGTGTTTTTCGCGGCACTCGTTTCATGCTCTTCTTCAGTTCCCGGGGTCTCGGGCCGGTCGGTTTAGCAAGTAGTTGCTGGTTTGTCATCCTTTGTGGAGGCATTCACTAGACATACCAAAACCGTTGCATCAGTAACTGCTTAATCTGTAGAATCCCCGTCATTACACGTATGCTGTTTGGGATATCTTTAGTTTAGCCTATGTCCAGACATGTGAGTCCAGTGATTCGTCTAAGAAAGCCCATTTCAGCAGTTTCTACCCGGGTTCAAAGCTTTTCAGTCATTTGTCCACGAGTCATGACGGTAGGTAAGCATGGGGATAAAGATCGACTTGAACACCGAGAGCTTAGTTTTCACACTGAGCTCTGCTTTAGTCATAATGGATCAGGTTAGCTTACGCAGAACGCCACTGGCTACTCCAATTCGAAGGTTGATCTCTTTCTCAAGTTTTCCATCTCTCGCAAATACGATTTCGAGGTACTTGAACTTCTCCACCTGCAACACTGCCTCTCCGTTAATCTGAAGAGAGTAATGGGTGAAAGAACGAAAAAGCACTAGGCTTCCGTTTTAGATACGTTTATGCGCATGCTGGCCTCGTCGCACTCAGCTGGAACCTTTCCAGAGAGCGCTGGAGATCAGTTTCAAAAGATGCCATCAAATCATTCTTTTTCGTAGAATTTGCCTGTGAGGTACGGTAAGGAAATGCCTTATGATGCTAGCACTCCATGTGTTCTCTCTTCTTGAACGATTAATATCCGTTGCCTGTTCTCCTCAGCCGAGTGTTCCTGCGGTGGCTAATGGTTAAGGCTTTCCGCAAAGTGTTCTCCCCATCGATAAAATGTGTTTTCTTCCTTGGTAAGGAGGCGTTCTTTCGGACTTGCCGCTCATCATTCTCAGAAGACCTCCCGTCTTTCCATCCCGGAGGCCGCGGAAGGTCTGTTAAAACGGCTTTTTCCCGTCTGAAAGTTCGACTTAAGTACCTCACAGAACATTTCCCAGAAATTA